GGGGAGGCTTTGCCTCTTATTCTTGTGTTGAGTGGTGTTTGTCTCCGCTTCCAGATTCTAAGCTCCCCACCGTAAACGAAACTCTGGCTTTTCAGAACCTGCCTTACAAACAACCAGCACTGAACATTTTTCCCAGTTAGGATATCTGAACTCTTTCCCTTGTGCCTGATTTAGCAACAACCAGATGTCAGGGCTGCCTGTATCAAAAGGTGGTTGCTATAATAAACAGGCCTAACCAAGGTCAAACGCTCGGTCGACTCAGCAACAAGCAATGTCAGGTGTGCATTCCATAGAGATTAGACTACTCCCTGCTCCCAGGCACAGGCCCGATTCCGTTGATGCCAGCTGTAAAAGCAGCATGCTTTTCTGTACTGTCCCTAAGGAGTGCTTAGGTATTTACTATCCCAGTCTTTATGAAAAAAAATCAAAGGCCATTCGGAATCCCTTGCGATGGTTCTGTCCAAACATGTTTCTTGATGTTTTTCTCCACCTGCTTCGGAAGGTTTCCATAAACCCAGCTACTGTCGTTGCTGTGTCTCCAGACCCAGAACAGTAATGGGCACATAGCAGGCACCAAATGTATAGGTTTTGCTTTGTAAACCTAGAAAAACAGTAATTTGAAAACTTACCCAACTCTAACCTGTGATTCCCAACTGGTTTTTATAATTGGCAAGGATGTGTCTTAATTATGTTAAAGGATACAATTTTCAAAGCTTCTTTACTTCAATACTTTTTTTTAATTCATATTATATTTCACCTTGAGAAGAGACTGACTCTTTGGTCCCACTCTTCTAGGCACCTCAGTCCCTAATTACAGCCTAAAGCTCAAAGGGATCTGAAACATTTTAGTTCACCAAGATAGAGCAAACATTCTATTTTCAAAGCTTTCCTGAGCATCTTATCCAGAAATAGAACCAAGAGACTATCAAGCAGTCAGAATTGCTATGTTTCCTACAGCTCCAAGAGGCACCTACCCATCACAGGCATTTTTTACCCCTATAGAGCACCATCAAAAGTATTTTTCATTGTTGTTAATCCTCACCTGAGGATATTTTTTCCATTGATTTTTAGAGAGAAGAAACATCAATGTGAGAGAAACACATCAATTGGTTGACTCCTGCATGCGCCCTGACCAGGGTTGGGGAGCAAACCTGCAACCCAGGTATGTGCCCTTGACCTGGAATTGAACCTGAGACCTTTCAGTGTGAAGACTGACACTGCAGAGCAGCACTGGCAGGGCTGTCAAAAGTCTTAATGGGCGCGGCCGGGCGTGGCTCAGTGGTTGAGCTTCAACTTAGGATCCAGGAGATCGTGGTTCAACTCTCGGAGAGGGCATATGCCCGGGTTGCAGGCTCGATCCCCAGTCAGGGATGTGCAGGAGGTGGCCAATCAATGACAACTCCCTCATCATTGATGTTTCTCTCTCTCTCCTTCTCCTTCCTCTCTCTGAAATCAATATTTTTTTTTTTTAAATCTTTAGCAGGGTAGTTTTCAAATTGTTATGATTCTAAAGGAGTTTTTGCTCTTTACATTAAAATGGCTCAAAGAAACTTTTTTAAATTTAGAGTTGTTGCTTTATAGAACTTTTTATTTCTACCAACATGTACCCACCCTCTTTCTAGATGGTTTTAAAAAATAATTTTGAATGTTTCCATTTACTAGCAAGAATGTTATGATCATTCAAGCCAAAGACTGAGGGAAGCAAGGTTATCCTGGGGAGATAAGCAGAGCCGAGCAGAGGCCAGCTGCGGGCTTTCACCTTGAGGGCACTGGCTGAAGCAAACTTGAGCAGCGGTTTCCAGAACCTCAAAGGACAACTGACAAAGTTGAAGGCCTGGACCAAGGTGGGAAGTCTAACTAGACACTTTTCCACTGAAGGTGGAATCTAAAAGGGCAGCATCCTTTTAGAAGAAAGTAAAAATCATTCATCTCCCCACCCCACCCCCAAGATGCCAGCCAGGTAAATTGTCTGTGTCAAACCTTAAAACCTTAGTGCTAAGTGAAAGGGAAAAATAACTTTCCCCTAAGGACTTAAAACCACTTGGCAATTAAAAGGCACAAATTACTTATGAACACAACAACGTAGATGAATTTCAAAAACATTATGCAGAGAATTCAAAATCACAAGATGGCCTTCATTGGGCTTTACAAGCTAAATTCTCACTATTTACACAGCTCAATAAATCTCAAGCCAATAATTTAAAGTCATCCCAGATTGATAGTGCCCTAGAGCAGAAGTAGGCAAACTATTCTGGGTGAAAGGTCAGAGTAAATATTTTAGACTTTGAGGGCATCCAGTCACTGTTACAAGTACTCAGCTCTGCTGTGGTGGTGTAAAACCAAACAGACCATGTGCTAACAAAGGCATGTGGCTGTCTTCCAACACAGTTTTATTTCCAAAAACAATCTGCTGATTCCTGCTCTAAAGGCCCGAATGAAGAGAAAATCCTTTGGATGACAGGTCATTATGAAAATTCTCTAAACACAAAGAAATAAGATTCCGCCAATGAGAAGCCACAAGGGAAAAAAAGACTCAGACCCTCAAAAGGTGTAAGATTTTGGAATTGTTGGGAAAAATACAAACCCAATAAGCATAAGATGCTTCAAAGCTTACTTAAGAGTAAGCACATTTGTAAAAGGATCAAATATAATTCATATAAATGAGAAAAATAAAAACAAATTAAAAACTCAATGAAGAGATGTAACAGCAGATTAGATAGAGCTAAAGAGAGAATTCATGAAATGGTAAAACTGAAGATTTAAGTCTAGAGAAGCAAAGAAATGGAGGTGGGCAGTGGGGGGATTGAGCAACAAAGGGAAAAACTCATGGACACAGACAACAGAGTGGTGACTGCCAGGGGGAGGG